AGATACGGTTCCTGAGAGGTGCATCCAAACATGAGCCTGCGCCGCACGTATTTTGCCTTTAGTGTTAATCTGTTCAGTTTTTGCTTGCAACCAATCAGAATAGCAGGTTGGGTTTTGTTCATTGCAAGACCCTTTATCGGACGTAACAACCAGAAAAATTCTTTTTAGCCGTATCGAAAAGCTTTTCGCTATTTTCTTGAACGCCTAAAATGAGCGGAACAAGGTGTTTTTGGAGCACAAATACAAAATGTCTTAAATATCCACGTTTTCATGCACCAATTATTTTTGCTTTTGTGGACGCACTAAAACCAACAGCGTGGAGAGGAAAAGCTCATTGGATAGCCGTAACTAAATATATTGTGGGCACAAAAGAATAATAAGATGTACTTTCTTGCCGTTGGTTTCGAACAACCTTCAAATGCTTTAGGCCGGCGTTTTCAATTATTTTGGTCCTATTCAAAGTGTCAGCCTTGTAGGCTGATGCATTATCTATATTTTAATAGTAAATTTAGGGCAAGCTCTCGAGTTAATGATTTTTAAAATCCATTCTTGTGCGGCAACTGGTTGCATGCCACGAATCTCGGCGCACCCCACTAGCAAAATTTTGCTTTCACTTCCGTGATCTATCTAAGCCTTGTGGTGCCCCAAGCATAATTTTTTTAGATAGTTTGGATACTGGTTTCTACGATACAGCACCGGAACAGAATAAGATATCCCCTAAGAAATTTTTCGAGGGCTTCGAAGGTGCCGAAAACCAATACAAAAAAGCGAGGTTTTATGTATTTAACTCCAAATAAAATTATACGGGCAAGGAGCTGCGTGTTTCTATTTATCAATCGATAGAGCAAAAAATTCTCTACCGAATGCACCCCCCAAATGCATCTGTCGCAGAAATTTTAGCAGATTAAAACCAGGGCGAAAGCGCGGCAAATACTTTCTAGCCACCCTGTACTAAATTTATATCTCACGGAGAAACCAGCAAAGTGTACGATATACTTACTGTAGTGTCTTTCCAAATTTTTTCATACATAATTAATTAATTAACATAATTAATTTTTCGAGGGGGTCACAAAAACAAACTGCGGTACTCAATGGAACGAGAATGGTTGTTGTCGCTGAGTTCCTCTTATGTAGAGCCTGGTCCGTTGTAATCAGCAATCGACATGGAAGAATATATTCTCCTATTGCTAGTCCTCATCATAAGCCTAATCGCTAGCCTAAGGCTAGTTGCTAGAGCATAAAACACCATTTTCAACGTGCACTTTTTGAAATAGGCGTCAAAATTCTGTTCCCGTGACGTTCGCTGCAAAGTGCCGACCGGAAACAGCTTTTCTTCCAATTGTTGCTGTTGTTATTAGCTCAGGTAAGTAGATTTTGTACTTTCTTATATCTAAGTCTAGACTCCAATGTTTGCGTGGTTTAACTTCACTGATACTTAGCTTAAAAAAGGCAAATTTTTAAATTCACTCGTTCAGGCAATCTCGCCGCTCTTCTGGGAGTTGATTCCCGCGTTGGTGGTGCTAGTTGGAGGAATAATCGGTAAAATAATAAAGATCTAGCCAAAAATTTCTATAATTTAGGGTAGCCCAATAAGGGTTTTAGTCATCTTTCCTAAAAGTCATTTTTCCTAAAAGTCATCTTTCCTAAAAGTCAATATTTCTCAGTTGGTTTTTTTGCAAGACAATTTTTTTTTGGAGAGGCCCGGGCCGTAAAATTTTAATGTCTCCATGCCGTACTAGACCTTTTTGGGATGTTTTGATTTAAGTTATGCTATCTTTGAATTCATAAAACTATTCAGAAATCAAAAAATAGGATAGGCTCTGATGCGACTAACAAGGAGACTTTTTAGGTGGGCACGGAGTTTCGGAATGGGACCAAGCCTATCTTGTGCAGAATTTTTTGCTGATTAAAACGTACTTTGTAGAATTTGCGAAACGACCGGAAAACCAAAGTTATGAGGGTTTAAAGTGTGAAAAAGACCCAAAATGGCCTAATTTCGGCACCTATAAAATATAGCAGAATAAGTTTCCACGAAAACTAATTAGTGCATCTTGCTCAGAAAATCACGCTCTTTCGAATCAGCCATCTCATTAAACAAGTTCAAACATTTTTTCAAAAAGATTAATTTAGACGACATGGTCCCCCATGTGAAATTTCAGCAATTTGACGAAATTTTGAAATTTCCGCGTGACATGGCTCATTCGAAGGAGCGTAATTTTCTGAGCAAGATGCACTAATTAGTTTTCGTGGAAACTTATTCTGCTATATTTTATAGGTGCCGAAATTAGGCCATTTTGGGTCTTTTTTACACTTTAAACCCTCATAACTTTGGTTTTCCGGTCGTTTCGCAAATTCTACAAAGTACGTTTTAATCAGCAAAAAATTCTGCACGAGATAGGCTTGGTCCCATTCCGAAACTCCGTGCCCACCTAAAAACGTCTCCTTGTAAGAGCTTTTATGAGGACTGACGGCGTTCAAGGCATTTTGCCGTTTCTACACAGGAAGCAGGTTTCAAGTTAGGCGGAGGTGGCATCCCTATTCGCATACCTAACTTCAGGCAAAATTAATCTTCGAAAAAAAAATGGTTTTTAGAAAAAAAGTGATTGAGGAAAAATAAAAATTTACGATTACCTAGTTTTAGGAAAAATTACTTTTAGGAAAGATGACAGCATAAGCCCCATAACTGGGGCTTATGCGCCCCCGTCTTCATGGCTGGATATTCGACAGGTGATGCCATACTAGCCTTGCTGCTGTTTAAGGTATATAAGAAAAAATTTAATCCGCCCCGCTTGGATTTTCTTTTGAGGCGTTTTCAGGCTTACCGCCGGCGTACCCTTCATATCTTGCTATGTGGGAAATGCTTCGGGCGTCTCCATCGCTTTCTTGTCAGTGAAACGCTCGAGGCCCCGGATGAAAGACCCAACCGACGCCCTCAACCGTTTTGAAAGGCTTTTAGATCTGGAGAAGACACACCAGTCAATACATTTTGCTTTGTTCCCATCCGTAGAAAAATTCATTTCTAACAAGGGTACCTCAAGTTGGCACGGTGGAATTTCGAAAAACGCTCGCGGCTACCCCTAGGCCGAAAATCCGGATTACTCACAAAATGCTTTCCATTTTTTCACCTCGGTTGTGGAACCTCCCAGGAATTTTGAAAAAAATGTTCATCTCGTTTCCACCACACTTAGTCCGTATTCTTTCTACGCAAAACCTACAAATGAATTGGGAATTGCGATATGGAAATCGCCTATCTATCACATGACTTTCGCTTTTAACCCGTTTCTGGCATAATATTCGAATTCACCTGAGCGTCAAGTGTAGCGAACTTGCGGCTCGGACTTCAGAAAGCGCCAAAACAAGTAAAAAATATTTTCGGCATGCTTACGTGGCGTTTCGACGATGCTGGATTCGGAGGAATTTGCTGTCCCAGACTGAATTAAGGTTGTGTGTGAAAATGTGCGGAACGGTTTGCCATAAAAGCACGAAACCCAGACCCCACACGAAACAACAACCTGGAAATTTTCGGGATTGATAACGGATCCAGATATCTGCCGTTTTTTTGTCGACTTCTTTGCCGCTTCCCGTCGAGAGCCGCTTTTTTGGGAATGTATCCCCGCATTGGTTGTGCAGTTCGGGGCATCATTTGTAAAAAACTGATAAGTACTACAAAAACTAGTCGATTCACGCTTTCCCCCATATTAGGCCTAATTGCCACTGTTTTGATGGTCGGTTATTCAACCCGTGATGCGATTCTAGCGCTGTTGTTGTTCGAGTTTAGCTTCGTACTAACCTTTTCAGGCGTATCGCCGGCGCACTTTTCAAACAAATCCTGTTTCGCCACAAGAATTTTCTGAAAAGTTGATTTATGATTCCATAATTGTCATGATTATCTCTATATGGGACATCAATAAATATGTATGTGCTTTCACGGCATCGGAAGACCTAGTCATTTCTGTAGTACATTTTCGGGCCACCTTTGAATTATCGTGAGAAATCTACACACTAGCTACTCCTGTTATCAGACCCATGAACCCTCTACACTTACCAAATGCTTTGTGCCGCCCTAGATCCCCGCGCTATTCGAAAGTGTGTGGTATATTTCCCGACGCCCTTCTCGGAGGCCGTGACGATTTTTGGAACTCGTTGTTTTCTTTACAAGGAGTGATTTATAGGTGCTATGTGGTTTCGCCTTGTAATATAATCCATTCGATAGAGCTTGAAACTTGCGCCAAATCCCATCGTTCGAAGCCTTCGGGAAATAGGTTCTCAAACTTCACAGTTTTGTTTCGCTCATGTCAAAAATCGAACCTTTCAGAGCAAATTTTCCCGAAAACCGTAGTCGCCCAGCAGTTTTGAAAGGATGGGATATGCTCAGAATTTGAAGCTCTATCAGATGGGCTAGGTCACATCTAAAATCTCCAATATCACCGAAAAAAGCGGTCCTATTGGCTTTCCGAGTTCATAAATTTAAGTGCATGATATTTTTTATTAGTGTTAAAAAGAGTATTGTCTTTATCATATTTTCCTTTCCTTGCCGCTAAAATGTTTTCTAAATCACCACGTTTTTCGCACTTGCATAAAAGGTTTTAGCGAACTTTGCCTTGAAAGATGCAATGTTCTCTCGAATTCAACGATTACGGCGCTACTGTAGCAGCCATCCTGGGCGTCGGCTCAAACATTTTTCTACTCTATGTCATCGCTACCGTATCTCACCATGAAATGAAAGGCCGGCAAGCTATGCAAATAATCATCACTTTGTATAATATATATTATTCTATCGCGCTCCGCGTCATACATCCGGTAGACAAATTTGAACATGATTTGGGAGGTCAGAGGCTTGTTTCTAGGCCCATATCATGGACAAGTATGGTTGGATCATATTCTCACGTTCATTTATCGACTCTTATATCGGTTCTTGGGTGGCTATGGCCATTCATATCACGGGATTTGCACAAGTGTTATCACTATTGCTGATTCATTGTTTTTATCGGTATATTCAGATTACAGGGTACGAATTTCAGAAACCGTTTGTAATCAAAATTTCTCGAATTGCCGAGGTTTAGCAATCAAAGTATTTTTAGAAAATGCCGTTCCGCGATTAACACAAAAACTGGGGTGATTAGTATTGTGTCGGCTCACATCCTGATGTGTTGCGTGGTGGAAACTTGTTGCTTTTGGGCTCTGGAGGTAAATTCTAAACTTGCCTGTAGATTCCCTTCATTTTCCACTCGACGCAAGATAAAGAGACAGAAAGATAGTGAAAGACGATAGGAAGAGAGAGAGAGAGAGAGAGAGAGAGAGAAAAAGAGCGAGAGAGAGAGAGGGAGAGATAGAGAAAGTTAGATAAAGAACGGAATAGTAGCGATACCTAGCCACGCCAATCAAAATTTCAGCCCACCGAGACTCGTACGCTACTTTCCATGGTTGACGCTAAGGAAACCCTCAACATCACCATCAAACCGAACACTTATTATTACGGAGCCGCATTTACGGTAAATTTTTCGAATCTACCTTTATATTAATCGGAGGCAGTTTTTCTTAAAATCCTATTTGAATTTTAGTACCCCGGGCCGAGTGGCTCGACGATCTACAACTGGCAAATCATCATTGCCACCGGCATTGCGATTGCGGCTTATTGCACCATGTACTTCACGGCTTGCGTGATTGGCGTCAGACTGTAAGTCCAGTGATAGAAAATTAAGCAATAATACTTGTAATTGCGTAGGTATCAGTTTGTGAAGCTCTCCCTTCAAAGCAAGGCCCGGAAGCGTCTGCTATCACAGCTTTTGCTGTTATTACTGGCTCAGGTTTAATAGGCGCAACTTTTGAACTTTTTTTTAGGCCATCTCTCCGTTCTTTTGGGAATTAATTCCAGGATTTGTCGTGCTGCTCGGTGGTCTATTCGGTAATAGAATGAAAAAGCTTCAAAAACCTGAAAAAATTCAGGTCTACCTCATAACTGGGGCTTGTGCGCCACGGTTTATATGGCCGGCTACTCGACCAGTGATGCCGTGTTGGCGTTGATGTTGTTTAAGGTGTGCTCCATCTACTTAGTATGAGCAGTATCCACCCTTTTAGGCCTATCGCCGCCGCACCATCGAAATCCTGCTACGCGGAAGATGTCGCGGACGTGTGCACCAATTCGCCACCAGCACAACCATGGAAAATACCACCGACGTCCCACCCAGCGGGAACAGGATTCAAGGCTTTTGAACGTGATTACATGGTTATGAAAATATACGATTTTGCATATTGTGTTTGGCAGAAGCGATCGGTCAAAATCTAGTTTACCCCTGGCCGCGCCGCTGGCCTTTCTATTAATTAACGCACCGATTATAGCAAATGTTCTCCTCGTCAAATAACTGGCTCTCTTACAAGGAGTGCTTTTTTGAGTCATCGGCAAAACCTTACGAGACCCAGCTCATTCGATAGAGAATTCGATTCTGAACTAAACCCCGTTGTTCTTTTTTGCAGAATGGCTATCCCTGATTTTATAAAATTAAAATACTAGTGACCCGGCTCCCTTTCGGCCGAGAGCCATATGGAAGAGGCGGAGTTTACAATTTTATAAAATCAGGGATAGCCATTCTGCAAAAAAGAACAACGGGGTTTTGTTCAGAATCGAATTCTCTATCGAATGAGCTAGGTCTCGTAAGGTTTTGCAGATGACTCAAAAAAAGCACTCCTTGTTAGAAAAATCCTAGCAGCCTTCGACCGTTGGTTTCCTGTGGCGGCGCGACTGCAGGGTGTTCCTATAAAAAACACCCCGCTCTAACTCGGCGCGGGCTTCTCGGATCGGATTGATAATTACAGCATTCGATAGCCCTTGAAACGGCGTCCTTGCCACAGATTTCATCGTTCCCGCGATTTTACAAGCCATTTTGCAACATCTTGTCATTTTCTTGGTTTTATACAAGCGAATTTGCCGCGGAATCCTGAAGCAAATGGCCACTATTGGCCGTTAATTTGATGCAGAGACCGAGCTTTAATGGTTTTAAATGCGGTCTAGGAGTGTCAAACTATGAGTATATTTTTTATTGGGGTGCCCTGTATAGTCTTATGCACAACCCTCTAAGGGATAAGGTCAATTTTTTCTAATCAAATCTCCAAGAATTTTTGAAAGCAGGTGTAATGAAGCGGGGTGAATAGCGCGTTCCCCTTTCCGGAATTGCCATTGTTGCTTTTCTAGAAGAACTTCAGCCCTTTCAGGCCACGCTCCGTACCACCATTCAAATCCTGTTGCGTGGAAAATTTCTTGGACTGCTCTGAATCCCACGATCCGAAGGGAACTTGTACCCAATTACCATGTCTGGAATTCGCTCCTTTTAACGAACTTTAGCATCGAGGCCGCCCAGGTTTTTGAGACTGTGCGCACTGATTTTCTAGCCATATTTCACATGTCTTATTAGGGGGTTATGTGAAAAGGTCGGGCCGAAATTTCTCCAGCGAGAAAAGTAGAAAACAGTTAAAGCAGCAATTTTCATGAGGGACCACATAATTTGAAGCGTCGGCCGATTGTTAATTTATTATTCCTTTGGGACAATAACTTGTTCCGTCGCCCCGGGCAACTTGGTCATTAGTTGAGCGCAAAGGTTTTATGGCGGTTCGAAGATGTTTTCCTAGTGTCCAGTACAACTTTATTACAATGTAAATTGTATGATTAATGCGCTTTTTGTAGAATTTTCTGGACCGTTTTTCTTTGATAAAGCGCGCAATAAATATTGAAGTAAAATCCAACTCTTCAGTTTCTACAGTGGTTCAACGCTCGAGCATTATTCAAATTCCTAAAACGCGCATGCAAAAACTACCCTCCTGGGATCCGCGGACCGTCCGGCACACTATTGTACAGAGATTTTTATTTCTTTTTCGAAATGAGATTGGAAATCTTAGATTTCGCTTTGCACGAGGTGGGAAAATCCTGTAAAATTTTCACTGTTTACAATAGCTTACTCCAAACGACCTCAGCTTTCCTTAGAATCTAGCCATTCGCAGATCATATTTTCTTACTTAAATCTTATTCAGTTTTCTCTTTCAAAAGTCTGATGCTTATTAGTTCAAGTTCGCCATTCACACAAAATCACGTCTCCTTGTTAACCCTGCCCTGAGTAAATCCCACCCTAAATAAAACACCCTACCGAGAAACGTCTTCGAAATCTAGCGCGAACGTGTTTTCCACTCTTTCGTCCTTTGAAGGATTTTTTAAAGCGAATCTCCAAAAATGGAATGCGGCGTCGAATTCAACGACAATGGCTCTACCATAGCCGCCATACTCGGTGTTGTCTCAAATGTGTTCTTATTATTTGTCATCGCTACGGTATCAGAGATGAGGGGACGACAGACTATTCAGATTATTATCACGCTATTCAATATTTATTATTCCGTTGCACTCCGGATTACGGATCCGGTAGATGCCGACCCTTGTGGTCAAATGGGTTTTTAGGCGCACCTAATGGACGAGCGCGGCTGGATCATATTTTCACAGCCATTTATCAATTCTTATATTGGTTCCTGGATCGGACTGACAATTCATATAACCGGATTCGCACAATCTCTATCGCTATTACTTATACATTGTTTTTATCGTTATATTGAGATTACGGGGTAAGTGGTAGCGCTTTTGAAACGTCCGGAAAATTTAAATATACAGAGCTTTCAAATTTAATTTCAAAATTTAGGAAATATCGAAGAGCCATTGATACGAAACTCGGGGTGGCAAGTATCATTTTCGCGCATTTTTTGGTTTGCTGCATTATTGAAGTGTGTTGCTTTGCGGCGTTGGAGGTAACAAACTGGGAACCATTATGAAAATTTGATACACGGAAAAGGGACGATTGGAATTTTTCTAAGAGAAACAATAGTTGATATCAATTCTAGCCATCGGAGACTCGAACCAGCCTTTCCTTGGCCGATACGCAAAAAATCCTCAACTTCACCATCACACCCTCTACCTACTATTATGGAGCCGCTTTTTCGGTAGTTTTTCTTTATGATAATAAAATTTTGACTACGACACATTTTTAAATTGTTCGAATTGAATCTTAGTTCCCGGGCCCGAACGGGGTTGAAATCTACGATTGGAAGATGATAATCGCCACTGGGATCGGGCTAGCCGTTTATGGGGCTATGTACCTGGGGGCTTGTGTTATTGGCATTAGACTGTGAGTTGATTGCTGAAAAGTGTAGCTACCCGAATTATATAGGTATCTATATGTAAAGCACTCACTTCAAAGCAAGGCTCGGAAGCGGTTACTCTCCCAGTTGCTGCTCTTGTTATTAGCCCAGGTTTGGCGAAGCAACATTCTAGGAATTTTTAGGCGATATCCCCCTTCTTATGGGAATTCATCCCTGGATTTGTGGTGCTACTTGGCGGTCTATTCGGTATACACTCTTAAAGACTGTGTGTATATCAAGCTACTTAGGTGTCCCACACAATTGGGGCTTATGCGCAACGGTGTTTATGGCCGGCTACTCGACGAGTGATGCGGTTTTGTCCCTTTTGTTGTTCAAAGTAAGTTTTCTGTGCATAATGGACGCGAAAATAGCATCAACTACTACCGGCAGGGTATTCAAGTGGTCTCTGTTCGTCCGTCTGTCAGAAGCCAACTATAACTCGAAGGGGGAAAGGAGCCAGAGCTTAGGTCTCTTCGGATCCTGGTAGAGTGTGGTCAGAAACCCCGTAAATGATAAAACAATTATGAAAAAGTTTTCGTTTAAATAAAAATAACTAATTTTGAAAGTAGCGCCTTAATAAAACGAGTGGGGCTCTCTCCCGGCAGGCCACGCCCCCTTTCCCCAGCCCCCTTCCGGCACGCAGATCGCTTTTTTTCTGTTGTTTTAATACTTTTTAATTATTTGAATTCATTATTTAAATCCTTTAAAGTATCTAAAGCCATCACGTAGGGAGGGGGAGGGAGCGGAGGCTGTGGCCCGAAGTCCCGCCGCCCGCTTACAGCCTCAAAGCCGCTGTAAGCGGCTGGTATTCTAGTTATCACCAGGTATTTTTCAGGCTTATCGCCGTCGCATGGCCGATATACTGCTGCGCGGAAACTGTCTGGGACGTCGACAACGATTTGTCACCAGTAAAACTATGGAAAATACCACCGAAGCCGCTGCCACTGAAAATAGGATTCGACCTTTTTGATCAAATGAATGAAAAAACTACCAATTTTTACTCGACTATGACAGCGCACGCATTATCTGAAACGCGGCTGTGCAACTTTTAAGGTTATCGTATTGGCGAAAGAACCCGAACTATCGTTGATTTTATTAATGAACACTTAATACGTACATTACATTATTATTATCAAACTTGCCGGTACAATCCGGTACAAGACACACGCCTAGTACAATTTAACAACAGATTCTAGCTAGGCAACGAGCTCCCAGCTGCCTGTCACGGTGCTCGATAATTTGCTAGCCGTCTGTTCCCATGTCAAATTAGAGTATTCTGTGAAAAGTTGGGCCCTCTGCACGCGGGTGGGTTGGCCACTTAGACAAACAAATTTTCAGCTTCCGCCTTGGATTTTCATCAAACCCAAAAAATGCATTCCTTTCATTTTTGCTTAGAATTTTGGGTTTTCATCAATTTTTTTAGTATCCGCCTGCCTTTTCCTATTTAGAATAAAAATTATATTATAAAGTACCGTGAAAATGCAATGTTCTCTCGTATTTAACGACTATGGGGCCACGGTGGCGGCGCTTTTGGGAGTTGGCACGAACCTTTTTCTGCTATTCGTCATCGCCACAATATCGCATAAAGAAGTAAAGGGCCGTCAAACGATGCAGATAATCATTACGTTGTATAATATCTACTATTCCACGGCACTCCGCATCATCCATCCGGTAATTTTTGTCGTTTGAAGGTGGTATTAGGCCTCCAAGGTAGTTTTTGAGCAGATATCAAATGGATAAAACTTTCGACATTTATTTACAGGCCCACCTAATGGATCAGTATGGCTGGATAATATTTTCAAAGCCGTTTTTCGACTCTTATATCGGTTCATGGATTGGATTGGCTCTTCATATCACCGGGGTTGCGCAGCCGCTATCTTTACTGGTTATACACTGTTTTTGTCGGTATATCGAGATCACTGGGTAAGCTTTTAGGAGGATTTTGGTTTACACCTAAACTAATTTAGAAAATATCGACAAGCGATAGAGTCGAAAATTGGGGTATTATGTATGCAGGGGCGTAGCCAGAAAAAAATTTCGGGGGCCGAAAAATTTTTTCCGAAAACTCAAAAAATTAACGAAAAAAACAGCGCCGCAGGCGAAAAATTTTGGAAAAAGGGCTACATAGCTCTATAAATAGCAGTAAAAACGTGAAAAAATAGCGCCGCAGGCAGCAAAATTTTTGAGAAAATAAAAATCATAAGGGTCCCCCCTTATGAAATTTTTGGGCCGATTTTTGGGCGATTCGATTTCGGGGCACCGGGCCCAGGGGGCCCACCTTACGCTGCGTCCCTGTATGTATGGTACTTGCTCATTTGTCTGTGTGTTTTATCATCGAGACATGCTGTTTCTGGACGCTTGAGGTATCAGTTATGTAATTACGGAAGTGGGCTGAGTTAGTAATTATATGGCATAAAAAATGCATGGTTGTTTTTTCAAGCCCTCGGAAATTCGGACCCGGCTTTCCATGGTCGATACCCAAAATATACTCAACCTCACCATCGTGCCGACCACTTACTATTATGGGGCGGTATTTATGGTGGTTTCTCTTGCGATTTTATTTTTACCGAAATAGCTTTAGTACCCCGGCAACAACGAAGTCGAGATCTACAATTGGAAAATGATCATTGCCACCGGGATCGGAATGGTCGTTTATAGCGTCATGTATTTCTCGGCTTGCATTATGGGGATCAGACTGAAAGTCATTGCCGCAAAGACTTAGTTACCCCGAATTTGATAGGTATTTGTATGTGAAGCACTCACTTCAAAGCAAAACTCGAAAGCGTCTGCTCTCACAGTCGTTGCTTCTTTTGCTGGCGCAGGTGTGAGATTTGAGCTTGAAATCAACGCAAATTTAGGCAATATCGCCATGTCTTTGGGAATTTATCCCAGTTTTTCTGGTGGTTGTCGGTGGTCTTATAGGTATGGAACACGTTGCTAATAATCTTGTTTTATCCGGTTTAGGGTTTCCGCACAATTGGGGGTTATGCGCGACGGTTTTCATGGCTTTCTACTCGACGAGTCCCACGGTGTTGGCGCTGATTTTATTCAGAGTAGGTACACTGGATCCCTTTCATCGAATTTCAGACGTATCGCCGTCGCATGCTGGAAATCCTTCTACGCGGACGATGCCACGGGCGTAGCCATCGATTTTCTACCAGTGCGACGCTCGAGAAGAGTGATGCTCCACGATCTTCGCAAAGGATTCGACCCATTTGAATAAAAGTTTACGAATTTTATCATGGAAATGATCTCTCACTCTTTTTCTCTCTTTCTCTCTCTCAATCTCTCACTCTATCTCTCTCCCATCTCTACCTTTATCACAATCTCTATGACTCTCTAGTTCTCACGCTCTCTCTCTATCTCTAACTCTATCTCTCTCTTTCTCTCTCTCTCACTCTCTGTCTCTCTCTCTCTCTCTCGTCCCTCCTTCTATGATCCATTTGGCTTTCAATACTGTTCAGGGCAAGTGTTGATTTCGGCACTGGTAAGTATGTACTATCTAAAAGCCAAAAACACACTAATGGAATCGGTTTGCCGCACGAACATGTAGTATGAAATTCCGGGAAAATCCAACTCTCCTTGGGGACTGCCGACCGGGCAGACAGTAGCGAAGCGTCCTCCAGGACACAGCAATGTGTAACACAAAATAAAAAGGACATCGCGTCCATTACCATTTAACGAAATCGCATCAACATTGTATAAAGGTACAAAAAGCTTGGTAATCAATTAAAGACAGAAATGACTGGTTTTGAGAGTGGAGTCATTTCAGTTTTTCTTTTTCGGGCTTACGAATTTACGTTCCCGGCAAATTCTCGAGGGTACTTGATTTTTGCACTTTTATGAATTGCTTCAATCTTCCGATTTCATCTCGAATTTCAGCGACTTTCGAGCCCTCGGCAGGAAGCATGGAGTGCTTGCTGGAAACTCACGACCTAAAAGCCACAATCGCGGCTACGTTGAGCATCACCTCCAACCTCTTCCTGCTCTTCATAATGAAAACTATCAACCGGCCGGAAATGAAGGGCAGCCAAAGAATGCAGTCTATTATTTGCGTCTATAACATCTACTATTCGGCGACGCTACGTATTTCAAATCCGGTATTGATCGGAAATCCAAATACACATCCCTAGGCATCGTCCTAACAGAAGCTCTAAAAACAGAATCTCTAAGAATCCTTATATTTTAGAATCTCTAAATTTCCTTGTTCCGGAAACCTAGGTGTATTTTCGCCAAAATTGAAATTCGTCTGGGTTTCTGCAATGGAAATTGAGAGATTTCGACATTTAGAGATTCTGAAATTTAGAGATTCTAAAATTTTGAGATACTACAATTTAGAGATTCTGATTTTTAGATATTCTCATTTTAGAGATTCTGAAATTTTCCCTCCCTAGGCATATTTGATTGATGAGCGTGGGTTTACCGGCTTCTCGAAGACGTTTCTGCACTCCTATTTTCGGTCCAAAATTGGCTTGGCGTTCTATGTGACTGGATTTTCGCAGTCGCTGTCCCTGCTGATGATCCACTACTTTTATCGGTATACAAAGATTACGGGGTAGGTTTGTCTATTCCTTCGCCTACTTCAGATTCTCGGAATTATTGCCTTCCATATTTAAGGCGATTCACAAAAGCAATCTCTACAAAATCGGGAAGATTTGGGATATTTTGCATTCACGTCTGCGTTTGTTGCATTATTGAAACTTGACCACTTTTGGCCTTTGAAGTGAGCTTGGCGCTATTTTGGGATGTAATGTGGCTTTTAGCCAACAGAATTCCGCACAAAGTTGTCGCAGCGAGATGCTGCAAAAATCCTAAACCTAACGATCACTCCCTCGATTTATTATTACGGTGCCGTGTATTCGGTGAGCAACAACGGGGGAATTTTAACGATCCTACAGTATCCCGACCAAGACGGCAACGAAGTCTACGACTGGAAGATCATAGCTGGCACCACAATCGCTTTGATCATGTTCTCGCTTTTATATAATTCGGCTTGCTTTATGGGAGTTCGAATGTAAAGAAGTATCCTTTTTGGGGTAATCCGTTTAGGTATCGCTACGTGAAAAATTCGCTGACGAGCGGGAAGCACAAATCTTCGCAGTTCCAATTATTGTTGCTTTTATTGGCACAGGTAAGTCCAAAAATAAAAATGATAGTCATGAAATTTGGCTTGTCATATGTCCAATAATGATTTAAGGCGATCTCCCCGTTATTTTTCGAATTCATCCCGGCATTTGTGTTGCTGATCGGCGGGGTTTTTGGTAATTGTTAATTTTATTTTGTTAATTTAAGGTTAGACGTTGGCAATTTTTTGCGGCAAATTTTTAATTTTGAAGTCTTTGTTGTAAGCCATCTTAGTTAAGCGCCAAAACGTTAGTCGTTTTCAGGCCTCCCTCATAGCTGGGGCCTTTGCGTGCCGATCGTCATGGCCGGGTACTCGACGTGCGATGCGATTTTGGTGCTGTTTCTGTTTAAGGTATTGTATATTGCACTATTATTCCAAGCATCTTAGTTTCTATTGTTATTCTCTTTAGATATATCGTCGCCGAACGTTAGAATTACTGCATCTACCAGCTTGCCGGTGCGGAACACAAAGCATTGTACATAGCGAGGGCCCCGATGGGACCTCACCGACACCTCCAGCCTTCAAACTTACCACCTGAATTACGCATTTCGATGTATTTTGTATTCGTTGATAAAAGGTATCCGGTCCTTTCCAAGAATCGATCCAAACCCTTAGGGAAAGGAGGTGACGACATTTTGTAGATGGCAAGTACGGTAGTCGTCAATAATAGTGCATTCCAGAAATTTCCACATCTTTCTAATCGTCATTCTATTTCTAGCAGCTGTGTTCGTTCGATTTTAGAAAAATTACGCTGGGTGTTGCTTCGTTTTCCTCAAAACAATTTTGGGCATAGTAGGGACGGGCCGATTTTCAGTCTCGCGAATCGGGACGTTCACACGTCAATATTTCCGTTTTCTGGAGATTTTCTAAAGAATGGGAATATTCACTAGACTGGACCCTTGATTTGAATTTTATTTGGTTTTA